CCCCAAAACCCCAAAACCCCAAAACCCCTTTCTAAACTGAGGAGATTGAATATTAGCTCTTCCTTGCTTAGAGATAAGATTTTTGGTTAGAGTACAAAGAAAAATAGGATAATGTGCTGATTAAATTCCCCATGTTTTATAAAAGCTGGTTCTGTATCAAGAGCTAAAAATTTAAACCTTCTTGCTCACTTTGAACTGAGTATCCAAGAAAACCTCTATTATGTCATGTTCGTATCTAAAATACAATCTCTAGTATGTATCCCCAGTATGGATAAACCTTTGCCAACACATTGGTTTTCTAAAAGTCCACTTTGGGTTATTTCCTGTTCAAGTACAAATTAGTCCTTGTGATTAAATATATCAGATAGGAATAATCAATAACCAACACCCACAAGACGTCTGCTGCTTCTCAGACCTCTCTACTCAACATCTAAGACCCCTCCATCAGCTCTCCCCAAAGAGAAGACCCGACCTCACACCTTCATACCCCCATTCCCACCATGCCAGCATAAGCTACCCTTCTCATGCCCAACTCTCCCTACCCAACCCCCATCTTTCTTACCAAAACCCCTCCTGTCTCAGCCTGCTCCAAAATTTTAGCCCGAGCTCAGCCATTTTGGTGCTGCTAACAAATTTGTATCAAAATGTTAGGTAAAAATTAGGGTGTGTGAAGAGGAAAGGGAGGTATAGGGATGGAATGGGAGTATAGAAGTGATTAGGGAATTTGGAGAGATATAATAAGTGACTAATTGTGATAGGTAGGAAAAGAAATTTTGAATCATTGAAGACAATTACTTTATCTCCAAAAATCCGTTTCTCCAATCTCACCTAAATCACCTCTGAAACGTCCCAAAAGGTCAAATCAGACATATCTCCTATCCTAGATCAAGTTTACTCATTTTCCAGCTGAACTCCCTCCTCGACACCATAAAAATTGAGTCTCCTACACATCTGCTTGGTAGGACAACACCATTGATTTCTCAATCAGTTTGTTCCACTTGGCTAGGTCATCATAAGGATTTGATAGCTTGAGCCGATCCTTTAGCAACTGGATTCATGTTTTTCCTTCAAAGTTTGTGGCATGCTCATCTGCACCAGCCCGTTTCAGGGACTTCCACATGCGCTTCATCTCAGAGTACTTGCTTACTGAGTTAAGGCACAAGTAATGCAGAGGGGTATTCCCATCATGATCCTCAGCGGTAGCTAGGGATGGCTCTATCTCTACAATCTTCTGTAGTAGCTCTCGATGGCCCAAAATGCAACAATAGTGCAAACATGTAGCACCTGTGTAGGGATCCTTTGCCTCACTCAGACGGAGAGCGCCCTTGTTCATGCAGATTATTTCGAAACAAACCTTCAGGTTTATGTTAATCTTTCACTTTTTGCATTGATCTAGCAGAGCTCTAAAAGCACGGTTAGTGGTTGGAAAATTTGGATAGAAATTCTGCCCAAAAAGCTTAAATTGTTATAAAAAGTTCATGCTGAATAGTGAATTCTTCCAGAATCCTCCAAACCAGGGGCAGACTGGCAATTAACACCTCTACAATGGTTGTGGAATGGCATTGGAGATAGCCCTAATTTCCCAAATTCCATTGGCTCAATTTAGACCAATATTTTATCAGCAAGGATTTCTGATAAATGAATCAAAGTTATTAGAATTAAGCAGATTCTTATAAATTATCTCATCGAAATCATAAAAACAGGTTTGAACTCTAGACGTCAACAAATTTGTAGAGGAAGGTTACACCTCTAGATCACTAATAATGGGGATTAACAACAAGAGACATCTCTTCAGGACTTTTAGGGATGAGCCAACCCAAGTCAGATCAGAGTGGGGTTTCTCCAATCTGATCCTAATTAATCCTGTAGAGATCAGGAAGTTGTTAAATCTGATTTCCGGGTGGCGTCATCAAACTAATAATTTCCTGACGGATAGTATTAAAACATAGCATTAACATTTAGAGAAACTTACTCTTCGTAATTATGGTACACGTTGTCGAGCAAATTGATAGAGGTACAGAGAGCTGACCTCCTCTCGCTCCGGACACTTTCTGTTGCAAAACTTTCAGTCTCCTCGCCTTCTAAAGTTGGAGTCGTTTTCTTAATATTTCTGGAACTAGTTCATTTCGTCCTTTCTAATTCAGATCTACCAAAACAAGGAGTAGTTGATTTCAGATGTTCCCCCCTGATCTTGCTAGGGGATCAAGGTCCAGAACTCTGCAAGCCCCTAGGCATATTGTCGATTATTGTTAAGGGTCGAGGTCGGCTCAAGGCAGGTTTTCCATTATCCCCCATCATCCCTCCACTATCAGGAGGTGATGCTAAATCCCTCATAGCTGATTGCTGCGGAGATTTCTTTTTAGATCCTATTGTCATTGTTCTTAAGTCCCTCTTTACGGTTTTAGTTTTTCCATTTTTGGTGGTTTGGCAAGATGCTCCTAATCTCGCTTCATCTGCACCACTAGCACATGCACCCATTTTATATAAATTATTCAAGAGTCAATTAACATACTTAAAAATGGGGTTTTGGGGTTTTGGGGTTTTGGGGTTTTGGGG